TTACTCTGATGCTGTGAGCTGTGGGATTCAGCAAGGAGGTGGATTGTAAACTAAGTGGAGTTTACACAGTCTGTGTCTGCATCTGCCACATAGATGTTGAGGGGGAGCTACCCTCAATGAAAACTGTTCAGAGTAAGCAGCAAAATAACTGGGGATTATTTCTTTTGCCCCTTAGAAAAACTGCCTAGTAAAGGCAGCACTGTTTACAGAAGTGCTAAATCAGACTTTTTTCCCCATTCTAGTATCAATAAGTAAATGTCAGACAAGCTGTTTAATAGCTGGGTGTTCCTGAGAGAGGGAGGGCAGTATGTAGCTAGGATGATGTTTCTCTCCCAAGTTGTAAGCAGAGTCTGAAAACACAAACTGAAATCAAAGCGTGCCTCCTCCTTCCTCACACTGGATATGTGGCCAGTAAAAAGCTCTTCATATTCTGTTTAGATCATGCACCTGTACCCCCCTCTCTTAGGGCAAGCTCAGTGGTAAGCCATTAGGCTTGAAAAAGCTTTTGAAAGAAACACTGCTGCTTTGCTGTCAGCATCTTGTCTTGAGAAATTTGACCAGCAGAGAACTTCTGGGGTAGAAGATGATGCTTTTGGATCAGATTTGTCATTCTTCAGGGTTTCCAGAACACCATTGCACTGATACCCAGCAGAAATGACCTGCATAGCCAAGAGATGTTGCTTCCACCTTTCCCCGTGGGCAGATAGATGTCTTTTTAAGTAATTGGCAGGAGAGAACAGAGCTTAAAGGATGATTTAGTGAACCTGTTAATGTGGCACCTAGGGTTTTAAATACAAATGTCATACTTTTTTTCCATGCAGTAAATAAAGCAGTCAGCAGTTTCAGAGCTTAGTGGGATACTTACTGGTCACCTTTGGCATGTTTTATAGGCTGGATTTTTCTGCCTTGTTTTGGGAGGCACTGACAGTCTGGTCCCAATGGGATCTATTTTTGTTGAGATTTTCAAAAGGGATGTTTTCATTATTTGTGAAATGTTTTTATGCACACGGGTACTGTACACTCTGTTTCCTGGAAAAAATGCACTCTGTTTTATTGCTGGATTTAAAAGGGATAATCGGGGCTTTATCTTGATGAATCGTGTTTCTACTTGACTGTTTCAAGTTCCTCTTTCTCTGTGTGTGGCAGATGACACAACTGCACTTATATTTGTTCATTTTACTCCAACATGACTTGAAATCAGCTCACACACTGCTTTAGTTGCTCTCTTTCTTCAAAACTGGATTTTGGATAGCTGATGGCTGAGTCTTGTCAGTGTTTCACCAGCAGGAATTGCTGGGGCTGCAGTAATTTAGGCTTCAGGGATTTGTGCTGTCCTCTACCACATCATTCATCATAAAATATGACAAAGGTGGAGTACAGTGATGGCTTGCTAATGTCTTCAGTACAAGAAAATGTGCCCTCCACTGGGCCTCATTGACGTGGATGGTAAAAAGAGAGTACCTTTTGCTGACCCACTGAGGGTTTGTATTCTTGTGTATTTTCATAGGTACAGTCTTGGTTTTGCACGTCATAGCTTTAGAAATCTGGTGGTGCCTCCACATGGCACTTGTACTGTGCTAAGCTAAACCTTGTTAGGCAGAAGGGTTTTGTTGAGCTACTGTAGCTGTCTGTGCCACCCCAACAATTCCGTAACAGAAGTATTTGACCTCCAAAAATGTCATAGAAGGTTAATGTGGTAGAATTATCCCCCAAAGCCTGAGCAGCTTCAGTCCATCCTAAACTGAATGCAGAGGGTTACAGCACTGATCTTGGTGAATGATGACTACTTTTTTTCTAATGCTAAACATTTCTGTGAGTTGCTCTTTGAGGAATGAAGTAAAAGGCAGGTCATTTGTGTGTTGTATAGAACTCCAGGAGTGCCTGTAGTCTCTCCTGGGATTAATGGAAACAGTACATACAGAGTTTGGGAATAGTTGTTAAAATTACTTCTCCTTGTCAAAGCTTTCAGCAGTATTTTATTGTTTCTTTAGGATTTGCTAGTGTTTATTCTTGATTCCAGTGATGCTTTAAAGGAGGGAAGGAGTATCTACCTGCTAGGTCTGCAGAAGTGTAAATATATTTACAGTTGATTTGACTGAGCACTCCATTCCTCTGTATACAAAGACTTGGTAAGTTGTTGGCAAAAAGCAAAGTGGCTTGTGAGATTTTTGAATGTAATGGAATAGGCTTCGAAACTGTCAAGCTCATATTGGAGACTGCATACCTTTGGACCAAATCTGTTAGAGGAGAAGTTACTAGATGAAGTAGCCTTACCAGAAAGCCAAAAATACAATGATCCTGTACAAAGCTACTCCTTAACCAGTCTTGTCACATAGTGGCAGGCTGGTTACTGCCTACTGTGAGCTCAAATTACCTAAACATAACTAAGCACAAAGACATAGGCTCTGTCAGGAGACTTCAAAGGGTGGCTGAAGGCTCCATTTGAAAGGGATTGTGTGCTGAACCCCTGTTTCAGAGTGCTGCCGACCTTCCCCAAACATGCATGTAGCCTTGTTTTCAAAGGCAGCCTTTTGGGTGAAGGATTAGAATGGGACTTGGGAGCACCAGATATCACCAGCCTTTTATTGTGAAGTGGGGTTTTTTTTTTGCAAAAAAAAAATTAATAATCTGTATGATATATGGCAAAAATGAGTTAAGGTTAGTGACCCTTTGTCTCCACAGTCATTTCTAGCTTCCTCAAGATCACATCTGTTCTGAAATGCATCAGACTTACAAAAGGACTTTTAGATGAGAAGACAACGTCACTCTGTTAGGTGTAAAGCTCAGCTTTAAGCCGTGGAAGTGAGCAGGTCTTGTGCTGACAGAATTCAGAGGCAGTAGGTGTAAGTGACTTAGCACAACCGTGGCGCAGAGCCTGTGGAAGCCCTCTAGCCTTGCACAGTTCAAGAGGAGCAGGCCTTCTGCTTGGGATCTGGGGATGGCTCACTCCAGTGACATGGATGAACAATGAGGTCCGGACACCAAGGGGTTCCTGCCCACTCTGAAAGCTGTTGAGCACCAGTTTCCAAGAAACCTCGTGGAGAACAAAATCAATCCAGAGGTGTCATGTTTCTCCTCTCATTTCATTCTTTTGGTTTTTTTCCCCAGTTTGTTTTAAATAAATTTGAAATAATCTTTATAGACAATCAGAGGTCTTTTAGGAGACTGCGCTGAAGGGTACATGCTCTCCACCCGTGGGCCTCTTTTCTTATACTAACTCATTGGAACTGATGCACTTTTCCTGTATTTTGCCTTTTTTAATTAGCTGCTTGTTCTTAAACAAAGATTTAAATGCATATTGTGTTGTGTCCCTTCTGCTTGTTGTTTTATCTTTCTTTTAACTTTTATATATATATATATATATGCAGTGAGACTGAAGTACTACATGGAAGAGAAACATGCACAAGAAAATACGCCTATGAAGTCCCACCATTGTTTGAGCAGGTGTAACAATTTAATCAGGATTTTTTAAAAACTATTTTGGATGGATATTTTGCTTGTTTTGTCTGTAAATAGTGTACATAAATTTGTGGTATATGACAGTTTTAAGTGGTTGTAAGAAAATTAAAAAAGAGGCTTAAACTGTTTGTGGTGGTTTTGGTGTTAATGTATGTGTGCTGCTTACCACAAGTAATTTATATCTTGCACGAAGTTGGGGGGGGGAACTGTAAAGCGTGTTCTGTTACTTGCATGAAAGATAAATGCACATAAATACCAACTGCATGGGCATCATAGTAAGAGCTTGGTTGGGGTGTATACAGCTCCCTCAAATGCAGGAGTCCTATTTATGGAAGCCTTCTTCAAAGATAACAGGTTTTGTTTCACAGCATGCTGAAAGTAATATACAGGAGCTGAGAAAGAACCTATGAATTGCGGTTATTTTCTTTCGTGGGTTGCTTTGAACATCAGAAGGTGCTCGATAAGATCCAAAGTGAACCTTGCAGATTCTGCTGCTCCCTGGGGATGGGTTTGTAAAGGTTTACACTACCCCAGCACGTTGGTGCCTTAAAAAAGAGCTGACTTTGCTTTCCCTAAATAACATGAGGATCCACAGGATGTTTCACAAACAAGTCAGCCTTGCAAAGGTTTTGTTTCCTTGGGGTTTCAGCAGATTGTATCCATATGCTCCTCAGCACTTGTTTCCTGCCTGCGCTTCAGTCTTCTTGAACTGATTTTTATACTGGGTGCGGACGATACGTAGCAGTGAGATGAAATCAATTTGTTTATTGATGTCCTTAAGCACATAAGTATGTAGGATTTAACACAAATCTTCGATTTGCCTTCACAGAGTGGTGTCTCCCCGAGAGACAGCAGAAGGCTTGTGAATAGCACGTACCAGGAGGCAGCGTCTTGTCTGCCACAGGTTTCAGAAGGGCTATAGGAGTTGTGAGGAGCTGAAAACTCTGGAGGTATTTGGGGAGATGGGTCTATTTTGAAGCATGGACTACGGACTAACGAGGCATAAGCCCTTCAAGTTGTATTTCCAGATTCATGGCTGAAACGTAGATTTTGTGTTTAAATAAAGCATTAGGTAAATCTTCAGCCAGTGTAAGTGGCCAGGTCAGGTGCCTGGGGGGGGACGTCAGATGTTCGGCGGCAGCTGTGGAAGTGGGTCAGGTCTCTTGTTTGAAAGGCAGTGCTTGATGTCCGTGATCCTTGTGTGCAAGGAGGGGAGAGAGCAGCTACTTTGGTCTTTGCTCTGTTTAGGTACCTGCTTGCGTTCCTGAGCTCTTGGTGCAGCTCAGAGCACAGGAGGGCGGACCCGGGACTCCTTCCCTGAGGCAGCTCGGCGACCCCTCGGGACGCTGGAGCCAAGGCGCGCAGGGCCCATGCCGCTGGGCGAGCAGACCTACACCGAGCTGCGGGGCTGACCCGCGAGGGCCGCAGGGGCGGGACTCTGCCAATGGGATTGCGGCGCCGCCGGTGACGTAGCGGGGCGGGTGGCTCGCGCAGGAAGCGGGGCGGGGGGCGTGGGCTCGCCCGCCGGTTACGACGTCGCCGGCGCCATGCGTCGCTGAGGCGGGCGCTGGCTGGGTCTCGCCATGGGGCTACCGCCGCCCAACGGCAGCCTCGGCTTCACCGACGGCCCCCCGCAGCCGGGCGGGGGTGCGGCGGTGGGGCCGGGAGACCGTGGCTGCGAGAACGGAGCTCTTATGGACAGCTTCGGCATCTTCCTACAGGGGCTCTTGGGCGTCGTGGCCTTCAGCACCCTCATGCGTGAGTTCGGCGGGGGCGGGCCGCGGCTTCTGGGCCTCGCCGGCTCCGAGCGGCCTGGCAGCAGCGGCCGGGCCGCGGCCGCACGGGTCCTTCTGCGTCTGGGGGCTCGGGCTGGGTTAATGGTGCCACCACCTCGCTGCGGTGTCCTGAGGCCGTCCAGGGCTATACCGGGCTCCCGGCCGGGCGGCGGCCTGAGAAAGTGCAGCCGCGGCCGGCGCTTTGTTGGTGTCAGGTGAGCTGGAGCGGGGCCGTGGGGTGGGGCCGGGGCACACGGCTCGGCAGCTCCGGAGGCCTCTTGGTGCTCCCCGTGCTCCTCTGACCAGGACTGTGCGCCTGCAGGTCTGGGGGGAGCGGTCGGTGCGCTCTGAAGGCAGGCGCTTAGGATGAACAGCGTTGTTTCTCAGAGGCTAGGTGTCAAGTGCTAAAAGCACATGACTTTCTGAAACTTGCTTTCCTAATGTTTGCACTGGTGTCAGTACAGTTTATCTCTGTTGGTTCGGGCACGTATTCGCTTTGAACGCAACAGCAGGATGTAGTGGGGTGTGCAGGATTACTCGGGTTTAAAATATACAAAAGGCAAGGGTTTGGCTGTGTCAGTTTCATTGCAAGTGCACCTTGTCACATTGTCAATAGCGCAATCAGACACGGCTTGTTTAAATCGCAGCGCACTGTGCCGCGCTTGCTCCGTACCTTGGAGCTGAAGCAGCCGATGAGCTCGTGTGGCTGCTTGCAGCAGCTCAGCTCGTGAGCAGGAACTTGTTACCTGCTCGTTTGAGTTTGGTGGAAAGGAAGGACTCGAGTGACTCCAGCCCTGCCTGCTCTGAGGGAATCGCAACAACGTGGAGCGGTTCTAGTAGATTTTTCTGTCTGTCCCATACTGTAGTTAGTGTCCCTTCAGTTGAGGAGTGAAGAAGCAGCCCAGAGCCATTACTCAGCTCACCATGAAGTCACTTTTAACAAAATGGGGAGGGAGGGAAAAGGGAGCATCAGCTGCATGTGTTCTACAGTTTGAGCCAAAGGCCAAGATCCTGTTTATGTTAGAATGTCACTGATACCACTTCATGCTAGTGTCATATTGCTGTCGTTCAGTCAAGTTTGCTAACACACTCTGTTTTCATGCTTTGGTGTTTCCATCACAGCAAACAATTGCATTGCTCTTATGAAAACTATGTATGCATGTAGCAGAGTTTATATAAGCATGTCGTTGTCATGTTACTGAATGACAACAATAGTCACTGGTGTAGCATTTGCTTAGTCAGCATCCTCATAACTAGAAGTTTTAAAAGTTTGCAAACAAAAGTACTGCTTTAAGATGATGATGTGTAAGCATTTGCTTTAGAATGAAGAGATACAACCAGATAATTTGTATGGGTCGTATGTCAAAAGATGAAGAGCTGCAGATGTTATCTGCTGGGGTAGGATTTTTTTTCTGGGAATGGTATTGCTTATCTTTATGTATTTTAGAGTGACACTGGAATACTCGATGAAGACAAGAAAAAGTGAACACAAGAAGTTTTTAATAGGAAAACAAAAGCCTGGTTGTATGCTGCCGTTCCTGACTTTGGCTAGATATTTTTAAACCATGAACTCTTAGAAGCAGGCTGTCAATAAAGGGCTTGCAATTGTGGAGGAAGAAGGTGACAGCAAGGTAGCTGATCCTTGCAATGGTACTGGTGAGGAAAGGAATCTGTTTCCGAAGGAGTTTAGAGCAAAAAAAGGTAGCAACCTCTCGTGCTTACAAGTGCTTATATTTAGCAACTGAAGGATGGGTATGTTTGACCCAGATTTGACGGCCATGTTCTCTTCCACTTAGTTTTGGGTTTGTCTCCTAGCAGGAGGAGATGCTGGCCTCACACTGGACCAGTGATACTGGCAGACTGGCAGTTCCCTCTCAGTTAAGTGCTGTGCTGGAGCGATGGTTTTGTCTGTCCAAATGTTTCTGTCCTTTTTGTATCATACACAAAGCACCTGGAATGTTGTTCCAAAACCCTTAAAAATTGCCTCTACAGATAGGGCTTTTTGTGATCTCATGTGACAGAGAAGTGGGAACCTGTGGCTGGGAACAGGAGGGAGAGTGTGACCTCAGCAGTCATGGTTGTTCCTGTCCCTGGAGCTGGATCACAGAACTGATATAGCAAGAAAAATAAACAGGGAAATGTGGTTATTTGTAAGCTGGAGGATTTCTGTGCTCTGGTCCTCCAGCTGTCCAGCACAACTGAGCTGGTCCTGGTGAGGGAGAAACAAGTGGCTGTATGTGTGGACTGCTGGAGAAGTAGCACTGCTAACAGGGCAGAGGTGGGCCTCCCTTTTGAATGGCATCAATTGTTTGTGTGTGGCTGTATCACTTCTCCAGCTCTTTGTAAAAAGTCAGAGAGCTGAAGACAAACCACTGGCTGGTATTTAAATTTAATATTTAAATTTGACTTATAAAGGGAAAATTGCCTGTCTTTTTGTGTGGTGGTCCTTTTTTGTCTTCTATTTGGAAGGGAATCCTAGTAGGAGATACTAAAATACTTGGGTATAAATGGTGCAGAATCCTATGTAGAAGCGAAATGAAAGTAATGGCAACAGAAATACATTGTGGAGTCGCTCTATATGCACAGAGGCTGTTTTCCTTTGAAAATTACTTGATTTGACATGTAAAGAATAGAATTTTTTTTGTAAGTGCCTAAATCAAAGGCTGACCCAGACTTGCCCTTTTCTAGATAACTCCTGCCATGCTTGCCTTCAAAAGGCAAGTTTGTACTGGTTTGTTCTGATTATAGTGGCTGGCTGTAAGAGGAGGCTGTTGCCTTGTTGGTGAATGTTCATCTACAAATGACTGAAGGATTGTTCTTAGAGCTAAATTGTTTAAGGTCTGACACACCAGTTTGCCACCTTCTTGTTTGTGAACCTACTGAATCGCTGTAAAGTTATGCTGTCAGCTGACCCGCCATTGACATCAGTTAAACTTTGTATTTTAAGGGCTAAAATGTGGTCAAGTGTCAGGTTTTTAATTTGTTGAAGATGTGACTCTGACGAAGGGAGAATGGAAACTACATTGCTGAGACTGCCTTCTAATGCTTCAAAGAATCAATCATGTTATCAGCTGCCTTGTGTGTGCCCTCACTTCTGAATTGGCACAACCAGGAAGTGACAGGAACAGAGACTTTTTCGGTTTGAGCTGATGAAGTGACCATTTGAAATTAAATCTGAAGTTTCTTCTTCTTCGTAGCTCTTGCCTCCCAGTTCTGTCACACGAGGAATGAAGAGCAGTTTAACTTATTCTCTTACCTCACAGTAGCCTTTTAAATGAGTGACTTTTCTGTTATTTTCAGATACAAATATACAACCCGTCATAACCCCCTAATTCTTTTTCTTGTAGGAGGTGCTTTATTTATCATTTACCCTGACTTTATGCCGGAGCCTTCCTAGTGCCTTAACCAAAGAACAGAAGTTTGCATTTATTGCATTATTGCTGTAGGTGTAAGGGCTCCCATATCTACTACTTAGTCGCTCTGATTTCAGATCTTGCCCTCCTGGTCTTTGTGTAAAACACTGTGTGCTAGAGAAGTGAGGTACTTTCCTGATACCTGAGTAAGCAGTGAATATACTTAAAATTATTGGGGCCCATCCGTGTGTTGCCTTTAATCACTGTGGATTAATCTTTCCTGCTCAGAGTTTGATTCTCTGCTGTGAAGCTAAAGATGTGTTGAAACACTTTCACCCAAACACTACAGATATTCCAGTACATCAGTAGTTGTGCTGAAGTCGAGTGAGACAACTTCTGTTGCTTCCTTCCTAACCATAGGCTGTAACTCCCTGTCAGAGGGAACTGATTAAAAACTACCTCTTTGTGGCAAATCTGCTTGGCCTGGCAGCCCCTTTGGATTCTGGCCACTCATTCTCAAGTCTGTTAGCCTGCTTTTTTGAAGTCTGCCGTTTAATTTTACTCTTGTCCCTCCTACCTAAGTGTGTGTTATTTTCCACCCTTGGTTATTTAAGCCAAGCCACTTCATAACAGGAAGTCTTAATGGGTTTCTCTTGGTGGAAGAGATGGATATATACGCTTCAGGTCAGTAAGCCAGACATAATATTTTTTCAAAGTTTGCCATTGTAATGCTTGTATCTTGTTTCATGAGGAACTTGATTGTAAAATAAACAGCTTTGTTCTTAAGGGGGGGGGGGGGTGTAGTAGTTTTTTATTTACTGATGGCACAGGGTTAGTTGGTATAATCGGGTCTGTGTTGGCAGTAATTCTAAGCACCTTCTGAGCATTTTTTGGTTAGGCTTTTATCAGTAACGAGTGATTAGAGTGGACTTATCACAGTATTCCCACACGTGTGATGTAGGCATAGTTGTAAGTAATGCAATTTTTATTAGCCAAACTGGCAGAAGGGGGGGGAACCATTACCCATCCCTTTACCCTGTCTGACACAGCCTGCTTCATGTACTTATCTTGAATATGCTGTTTATTTACTAAGCTTCTTTATCAGTAGATTGGTACCTTATCAGTGTGGCTATGTTTGGTTTGGGGTACCTAGGAACAGCTGAGAAATTACATGCGAGTCCTGCTGTTGAATTACTGAAATAGAAATATTGTTTGGTCCTCTGCAGGTAAAAGGGTTGTGTCTGTGGGGGGGAAATACAAATATGCTGTGAAGGAGAGCAGGGTGTGTGGGTCTGTTGCCTTTTTATGGCTTTATTATAGTTAGTTTCTACCTGCACTGATAAGTTAAATGGCAGGGGAGAGGTGCAGTGAATAAGTGAGTAGATGGGTTTGCTGTTGAGGGTCACAGCTGGGGAAAAAAAACCAAACAATTCTTGTAAAAGATACTGTATGTGTATATAGATATATATATGTATGTATATATGTATATAATATATATATATGTGTGTGTATATATATATTTAAGGTCTTTTTTGCTTATAGTGCCTTAAAGGAAATACCTTAAAAAACTACATCCCTAGGATCAGTTTACTTCACAGCAAGGTTTTCCCACCTGATAAGCTGTTCAAGG